AAGTTTGAACTTAATCGGTCCATGCATGTTCGAGATACAGGTGATCACGGACGCACGGACGGACGCACACAGGGCAAAACATAAGTCCCCGTTTTCGGACTGCGTCCGAACGGGGACTAAATATACAAATCGCAAAGGTGGAGAATGTCCTTGGATACGTACGCACAACACCAAGAAAAGTCACTATCCCCCCCTCCCAATCCCATACAATATTAAAATTACTGAAAGGAGAACTAATGTTGCACTTACAGCCAACGTTTTTAGTCATGGTTTAATATCTGCATGAAATTTTGTGCAATAGAAAGCAGAGACTTTGTTTAAAGCACATCTATTTGGTGATCAGTGGAAACTCCTTTCAATCTCAGAGTGTCCTTACCTGGTTTTAAATGGTACTTACCTGGTAGATGACACACACAGATGAATCCATTTCGTTTGAAAGTCAAGTAACAAAGCCGAAACAAGAGAAACCATTGAAAGGAAAAGTACACCATCAAACATTGGTCTTAAACCTATCTGAAGTTTACTTTTTTTTCCAACGTGCACAATATCAAAATCATTGAAGAGCCGACGAAGATACATACGTAATCGCATTGATTTTAAACCCCACATGACCCTGAATTTGATCTACGCATGAATACAATAACAAAACTCAAAATATTGCCATCACAAGTCCCAACTATCTAGTTTTGAATATGCACACACATGCCCAATACAATATTTATTTACAAGACAATTGCAGTGGAGAATAATGAAAAAATATTCAGAGACTTTAAAAAAGACCAAATTGGCCATGATTTCACTACACTTTATCAGTACATAAAATAACGACACTGGACAAAATAAAAATATTGTAACACCGCCACCAATTCTTCATATCTTTCACCGACAATTAAACAAAAATCAGGGCAACTCTTAACTGTTATTCAGTGTAAAAGACAATTCAAATATGAATAAATTATGGATGGACAGACAGACAAACGGACGAATGGTGATCAAGCAAAAAGTTCATGAATGACCTTGGTTTCAATACAGCATTTTTCACAGATGACACACTTATAGTTACATTGCCCAAATATTAACATGGTCATTTATTGAATGACTGGATTATTTACAGCGTCTGTTGCAGGCATCAAACATGTACAGCAAAATGCTATACATCAATACAAGGACAAAAAACAAAGGCATGTAACATGGGCGAGGAAAAACATTTCTACAATGTCAGGGAGGAAAAAAAGAACTTGATGCTGAAGCACAAGGCACTTGTTATAAAGACAATGTTTAAATTTACATTTGAAGCAGTCAGACAAAGTGAATGGAATGAGCCCAGGAAGTAACAATTAGACCAACCTCTAAGAACGAGTTTAGAGAAGGAAATTACAAATAATTGTGTATCTTGTATTTATCTTGTAGCACCTGTTTATTAAAATTCTAATGAAGCCAGCTATTATTCAGAATCGTTTAGACAATACATACAAACGCTGAATTCAATTACAAGAAAGTCTAAACTTTTTCCTAAATGTTTATATATATATATATATATATATATATTTAACCTAACACATGAATGAAATATGAACACATGCAAAACAAAACAAGAAAAAGTGAATAGGCATTCCAGCCTATACAAGTTTTTCTGAAATCAATACAATACAGTTTGCAGATTCACTCCCCATTAAAAAATCCTCAACTTGGGCTCGATGCAAGAAAGCATAGCTTCTTGAACCACTGTCTTGAAAATGCAAGCATAAAATAGAGACTTGAATAGAAAAACAATTTTTATTCGAGAATCCAACACGTGTATCACTTCGGCTGAATACATCCATCAATCAATCAGCTTTCAAACATTGGTATACAATCCGTCAACCAGAGGGTGCAGATTTCAGTTCTCAATCCTTTGTGCAGTTTAACCAGCATGACAGTGATACTAATAAAAGTAACCATACTTATGATTGGAGCTCCTTTGTATTGACTATACCATACAGATATGGCACACAACGGGGAAAACAACTACTGATCAAGAGTATTTTACTGAAAATGTATCCACATTTCCTTTATGCTTACAAAAAATTGTAAAGTACTTGTCTTATCACACTTCCATCAAGATGTGTGTTATCTTGAATTAAGATGCATAGGTGATGTAGAACTTTTTAATGACATTCCAATCTCCAGTTCCGCTCAATTTGACAGTCGCATTCATTAGAAGCGACAATCAATTCCTTGAAGCAACATTCTGTACATATCAACCGGATGAGACCGGCTTTGTCAAGTAGCATACAAAATTACTGGATAAATAAGACACATTTCAATCAAATGCTCAAATTTATGCAATGGAAAAAGTTGTAGACGCTCAACAAACTAATGACATTAAACTGGATCCACATGTGACATCTACCAGATTTGAATCAACTGTTCCATTGATTGATACCAATATCACCCTGAATATATACATGTTCCACATTAAACTTCTGTAGCCTCCAACCATTGAAACCATCAGTAGACAAGACTTCAACTTTAGTGGGAACTTCTTTCAGCACTGGATTAATATAAAGTTAAGCTGGCATCACATGTTTCACTCCCAAGAAATGTCAATCAGCACTCAAAAGGAAACCAATCACAGGGTTGAGTGATTAGAGACGCAGCTTCCAACTGACTGTAGCTATACTGGGTATTATCTATTTTTTCACAAACTATAACACGACTTTGCAGCAAAGAGAAATATTTACATAACTTGACTAAAATAGTTTTTGCGATCAGCAAATCATCGCAAGACGAATGACAAATCAAAGTTAGTTTGATGCAAAACAAGAAATCCAAAGCTGTCATCCAATTAATGAGACCTGATAAAATTTCCTCAGTTTTCTCTAAAACTAAAGACCATTATAATTTAAAATGTTGTTGCATCAGAATTATGAATCAACACCAGACCAATTGGCAAGAATAAAATTCATATTAATAGGTCCACTTGGTTACTGATGGATAGAAAGTAGTATTCACCACAAATGAAGACCAGTGGTAGTTTAAATTTAACAGAAAACTGAATTTACAGTAGTCAACTGTTTGTCATTCGTTTGAAACTTAGTGGTTCTAGAACACCAAAGCATTAACAAAAAGTGATATCATAAATGCAATCCTTTTAACCACCTTATAGCAGTTCACAGGACAAAAACTAAAACAAAATAGTAGCATACAGAGACAGGAAATACAACGTAATTTGATTCCATGGAAATCAAGCCACCTTCACCCGACAGACAAGGACCTTGACAACACGATTTTTTTCAACAAATACCAGTACTAATTTTATTTATCCATCATGATAATCTTAAAATCACAAGAAATAGGAGTAACATGAAAAAAATATATCACTGACTTACAAAATTCACGAGAAAAATAAACAAATTGTCCACAATTCCAAGATGGTAGTCTTTAAAACTGCAGCAGTACACATCCCACCCCCTTGTATACGATAGCATTACTTTTAACAGTCACATTTTGGACCTCAACGATAAGCATACAATGGATTCTTTAAGAATTAACCAATGCAACTAAATTGTTCACCAATACATTACATGATTCAAGCATGAACATTCCTATAAAAAAAAACCTCAACCAATGAATGTACAGTTCAATTCATAGCAGAAGTCCAACTGTTCTGATGTACAGAGTGTCCGGGAGCTGCAGCTTGAAGTCGTCAATTGACAATTGTTCTCCACAAGTTTACAAACCTGCGAGTGAAGCTTAAAATTTGAACACAGTAACAAATCTTCACAATTATTTCATCCATTACAACAATTGAGAAGGTCAGTACAGTTCTTCAAAACAACTGACGCCAACTATTCTAAGATTTTCTTTACAGCACTGTGTTTAAATGAGCGAATAATGCTAACTGATGAACAATGAGTCAAAGTCCAAAATATGCTTTTCACAACAATCACAAGGTGAGAAATTGCTCTATAAACAAACTATACATGTGACAGAATCAACATAGAGGTTTAAAAAAAATAGCTGGCAGTTCCCATATTTATACATGATATAAGTGCATCTACTTTTAACCTTTGAAAATGGTACCGGAAACGCAACTCTGTCTGATCAACCATCATAACATAATGACAATGCTAAAGAAATGATGAAGAGAATAAAACCTATGAACAGTTCAGACAAAACCAACTCTCAGCAATGTTGGCATTGCAGGGATTCATAAGAAAACAAAGTCCTTTACAAGAACCATGAATATCAACAAGTGTCAGCAAGACAATGCAGGAATGTGCGGAATATTACACCTTATCCATTCGAACTGATATTGTACGTCCATCTAGTACGCTACCATTCATCATATCTGGTAAAACAGAATCAAGGATAATTTAACATGATGTTTACATGATAATCAGAAGTGATTGGAGTTGGATTATTCGATATACGTTACTTGTCTTCTATCATAAACACATGCTGTGTTTAAACACTTTGTATTAAAGATTTTTTTCACATTATCTCGTATAAAACAGAAGAGTAGTAGGTGAGGGGGGGGGGCATGGCTTAACCATATCGTCTGAAAAAAAGCCATACATAAATTGCTGGGCTACATACTGGTAAGAATACAGACAATCAAGCCTTAAGATAGAATTGAATGAAAGTGTGGTTGAAAGTATGTGATACCAACATGGAACTGAAAACAAGCATGGACTACAAGTGAGCTTTATCTGTGACAAAAAGATCTTCTACATACACTTCCATTAAATTAAGCATTTGATGAAGAAATTGTTTAACTTTCTCATGAAAGTACTCGGCAAGTGACATTGAACAAACTTTATATTTGCATGCACTAATAAAATTCAAAGGATACTAATAGCTGTGCGGGCAGATTCTGGAGATTCAAACCTCACTGAGCCGTAACCTTTAGATCGTCCGTTCTCCATTTTTATCTCAGCATACATTACACGACCTGCACGAATAGAACGATAGTAAATGCAACAGTATTGCTAAGAAGTGAAATATTGATTGGTCTACTCAATTGTATTTCTTGACAAACCAAATACAACCTTTCCATCACAAGTTCTTTTCATCACAAAATAGTCCCGTTTATAACTGCACTTTTCTTCTGAAGTTGAGACAAATTAGCCAAACTTTTTGAATAAAAGCTGAAAATTGTCTGTTAGCTTCAAAATTAGAGTTCTCCAGAAATATTGAAGAAGACTTAGAAAGAACTCTTGTGTGCTTGAGAGCATTGAAGATGCATTAAATTAATTCAAAATTTCAAACGAGAAGCTTTGCAACTAATATTTGTCTGCTATTTGAGATGCAAAACATGAAAACAATGTGATTAACATTATCAATCAATTTGATTTTTCATCTATTATCATCTAATTTTTTTAGATACCAGAAATTGGCTAATAATAGATAATCAATATGCATCTATGCATCAAGTTTCATAAAAAACCAACATGCGGCTCTTCAGATATCAGTGGAATGGACAGATGGACGGACAGATACACACACACACACACACACAAACCTACACACAAGCTAACTGCAAAGACTCCTATTGTGGGTTTGCACACAGGAGTCAAAAAGTGTAAAAAATATTTGGTCAAGAAAGTCTGGTGGTGAAAAGGTTAATGCAGCTAACGTGCAATCTAAAATACATCAGCTTACCAAATTCTCGGAACTTGTCTTTAAGCATCTGCCATGTGTACGTGAAAGGTAGCTGTGAAAAAAAATGCATTAGTTTAGTAAACACAAGTATGTTATAAGTTAACACACCATACTTGACTGTGTTAGTTGTCCAGGGTCCTCAACTCTCAACTCAGATGGGCGCTTACCTGAGCACCCCCCTCGGAAAAGAGTGCAAATGACAATTTTATTTCAACATGTGACAGATTGAAGGGAATATTGCATCTTTAAGGGGAAAATGAAACTACAAAATTAATTGCGGTGTCATTGAATTTTACAATGAAGAAACAGAAATGGTCACTAAAATATGCACATTTCATTACAATATTGAAGATATCATCAGAAAATGAACAAAATGTATAGTATTAAAGCAATCGGACTTAAATAGAAAATATAACTTTTTATGAAAAATATTCATCAAAATTAGATAATTTAAGAACAAAATCACCACGAAATGAACAAATCTGAGAGGTCTACCTGTAGTACCTATGCACTGTATATAATATCAAAGCAATCAGACTTGCAGTTTTTAACAAGTCGAAAATATAACTTTTTACCAAAAATGACAAAAATATTCATGAAAATTAGAGAATTAAAAATATCACCATGAAATGAATAAATCTGAGAGAGGACCACATGTAGTACCTAGATATGTAATATCAAAGCAATTGGACCTGCGTTTTTTAACAAGTCAAAGTACAACTTTTCACCAAAATTATTCATGAAAATTAGAGAATTGAATATATCATCACGAAAATCTGAGAGAGCACGACTCCATGATGAACAATCATACCAGAAAAAGGCACTTAAATTAATGGTACTTACATTTCTTACAAAAATTTGTGAGTCCATATTCCTGCCTCCCTGGCCATCATCACTACCAAATCCAAGGCCCATATTGCTGCCATAACCACTTCCACCACCACCACCACCACCCATACCGCTGCCGTAACCACCACCGTAGTTGGATCCACCTCCGCTACCATAATTACCCATACTGCTCAAATCAGTGCCAAATCCCATGCCGCCAGAGCTGCCCATTCCCAAGCTGGAACTCATATCCATTCCACTCGCTCCCATACCTTAGATAGAAAAGAAAGAATTATTATAATTACAACAATTGACACATTACACAGTGACAGTTCTCTTAATTCAGTGTTTTAGCCCAGCTAAAATTGGTAAGCCGCTATATCGCTAAGAACCACGATCTCTGCTGCAATATTGTACAATGTATACTGCTGCTTATAATTGAATTCAAAGACGACAGAAGCGGAATATGCAACTCGTGCAACCAGAAAAGTGCTTTAAAGTCGAGGCAATACGACTCACTAGAGGTTAAATTCACTACAATACCAGTTTAACATCTTGAAACAGTACAGAAAAGACTACAAGGTTTGCTCGAGAAAGAGAAAAGTCAACTTTTCAAATGTGAAAATTAGGGACAATATTCCAATAGATGTGGTATACAAGGTAGTTGACGTCTGAATCCAATGAACCGGAAAAACAAAATCATGCAGACTAGTAGCAGTTTGATACTCACCTCCCATGCCGCTTAGTCCAGTGCCACCCATTCCTCCCATACCACCTCCTCCCATACCGCCCATCCCTCCCATACCAGAACCCATACCACCTGTAACAGAGAAAAAGAGAGAGTAAACAGGTGTTATGCCAGAAATGGGAATGCTTGGAATAAAATGGATCTAACATCACTGTGAACGAAAGAGACCAAACTAGAAGGGTCGCACAAACATAATCATATCTACCAGAAAACCCATTGAAATAATAAATTTCATTTGTTACCTGTTAGGCTTTAACTACATATTACAGCCCGAGGGAAACTATTAGAGAATATACCTGGGTACAAAATGAACACCCTTGGGGAAGAATTCTCTAAAAAAAAAAGCCCTGACTAAGGGGCCACCCCCAGGGAGACCACGCTGTTGAGACCTCTTCTGTCTCAATTCTCCCAAATGTTTCCAGTGCAACACAGCAGGAAGCTTGTGGGGGAGGTGGGCGATTTTTCACAGATTTTCAGGTAGTCCCTTGGACTTGAAGGTCTATCAGATGGCCGCCACCACCCTTGGAGTGTCACATTTGTAATGAGAGTCAGCAAGGGAGCCAAGTTCCAGACTTCCCTTCACCAAGAGAGGGCCTCCAGAGGTTGTCCGACAACCTTGAATGTCAGGTTCTGCATGTGGGCCTTGTGGTCCAATAAGCACTTCTGAATCGAATGAGACCAGCTACTGCTGCGAAATGACAAACTGAAGTCATTTTGCAAATAAGACGCATCAGTTCGCACATAGAAGCTGTCACCATCGACAGGAGTTGGCTGGCGAGCTCCACAAGGGGGTCGTTCCGTGCCTGAGTGGGGCAGACAACCCCTTTGCTCTGTGTCAAACTGCATACCCAGAAAAAATAGGTCGCGAGACGATATAGGGTTGGACTTGGGAATATTTATTGAAAAGCCTAACTCGTGGAGGAGCATTTGCACTGATTGCACATGCTCCGCTAACACCTCCTGTCTTGGCTGTGCATTAACCAGTCGTCTAGGTATGGGTTCAGATAAACAGACGACCGGTGGAGCAGCTGGATCACTCTGGTGAAGACATACGGTGCCGTGCACAAACCAAAAGGAAGAGATGTAACTCATAGATTTTGGCCTCTAAGGGAATTTGAGATATCGGCTGCAAGAGAGGTGAATAGGGATGTGGAAATATACGCCAGCCAATCACCAGAGTGCACTGGCAGAAGCATCAAAGACTGTGTTTCCATCTGGAAGCGATTGAGCTCCACAAACCTGTTCAGCCGACTGAGATCCAGGACAGGACGCCACCTTACGGGTTCTCCACTCCGCGTACCGTACCATACCGCCCCTTTCTCCAGAAGGTTGGCTACTTCCTGCTGGATCGTCTACGTTTTGACCTCGTCCCTCGGCAGAAGATCAGAGGGAGGATGAGGAGATCGGAGAGGGATTTGATACCCAGAGTCACTACTGCAAGCCTCCAGGGGTCGGAAACTCTCCTGCGCCAAGCGCAGCTTGAAGCGCGATCCAACGGGAAGGAGCGTATAGGGGGAAGGAGCGTATAGGGGTTCGGAGCCAGAGCTTATCTTATCAGTAGGGTAAAACTAACCAGTCTTACGACGGTCTAAACCAGGCTCAAGTTCACTGTTGGTGCAGGAGGACAAAGACTGGGAGACAGAGCCAGAGGACTCCAGAGTGGGGAACCGAGAGTCGTACCACCATCCAAAGCACCAAAGAGACTGAGGCTCCCTGCCCCCCAGAAGCGCTAGAACATCCACTACCAGGCCACTATCCTTGGACCTCTTCTGACGCTTCCCACTACTGGGCTTCTGCCCCTTAGAAGAAGACCACGAGTGCTTAGAACCTCGCTGGTTCTTATCGGAGGACGTATTGCCTGAACCACTCTGCGGTTTAGGTTGGAATTGCTGGCAAGAAGGGCCAGCAACCTTGGCCAACAAGGATGATTGCTTTTGCACGTTGTCAGTATTCTCACTTTCGGGTTTGTCATTGTGTGTATGTACATGTGTACAGCAGTATTGTTTGCTGTGTGCATGACAATGACAGCAAAAGCTGGATCAACTATTAAATTTTAAATTAAGTTTTAAAAAAAAAAATCCGGCCGACCCAATTTTTAATTTTCTGACTTAAGGGCTGTAATCTGTAATTAATTAATTAAAGCCTAACAAGTAATAAATGAAATTTATTATTTCCACAGATTTTTTTGGTAGGTGATGTAGTAAACTGTTAAGTAATGGCGATTCTGATTTTTGTACTTACCTCCCATGCCCATTCCACTGCTCATGCCCATGCCTCCGCCGCCCATGCCCATTCCACCACCACCCATGCCCATTCCCCCTCCTCCCATACTGCCCAATCCACCAGTGCCCATACCAAGGCTACTCATTTGGCTAGAGCTACCACCAACAGTCGCAAGTTCTCCAAGTGTGGGTCCAATACCACTCAGACCACCTGTTAAAAGAACAAGAATCTATTGCTTGTAACGAATGAAAACATGTATGGATTCATGTAATGGACATGTAATGCGCTTTCTTGGGGTGAACATGAAGAAATCCACAGCATACAACTTATGCAGGACAAGACAAATATAACCTCCCTCCCCCAATTCACTTTTTCATCAAACCTAACATTCAAGCACAATTGTACCCAACATGGCATACATGCACTGAAATAAGTAGAAGACGCATTATTTTATATAGATCAACTTACTTGGAAGTGGTGGGCCGAGATCCTGATCTTCGACTTTCAATTTATCCTATAAAAAAAGGTCATGAGAAAAAGAAATTCAGAAGAAATGGTTGAAATCATTTTCATTCTGCACGTATTAAAGCAAGAGCAACACTACAAAGGTGATAACTAAGAATATAATATTGGAGAATCTATGGAACTAAAATCCTTACCATTCTTAGTCGCATTGGTCTTTCAAATAGATTCTGCCCATTGAACATGGCTGGGAAAACTAAGTCAAGGAGGACAATATCATAGTTTTCTTGAATAAGTAGGTCCAAGCACTTAAAGGTCTATAAGCCGGCATGCAGTTAATGCTAGAATTTTGCGTAAATACAATTCGCACATGATACTCGCACTAAACCTGGCATAATGCTGCGAAAGTGTTGAAGAAATAATTAAATGGATGGCACAGTCCCAGTTAGTTACCAAACTTAAGATATATAAACTTGTCAGAGATATGGACTCTGAAGCTGATGCTTGATTATGGTGATTTTTCAACACTGAAATGATTGACATTCCGTCATCTTGTATCTGATCGTCAAACGAGTGCTTGTCCATATTGAGAGATATTGTTGTGGAACAGCATTAATTAAAATAAAATAGCCACTAGTCATTCATTTTGAATACATCTGTATATCTATAACATGATGTAGAATGAATATATAACATTTTAACATAATCAGTGAAATCATGTTAGAGATATGGCACAAAAATGGCCGCCATTCAAAAATGGTCAAACCGTAAGTCCCTGTTTTCGAACAGTGTCCGAAAGAGAACTAATACCCTTAACAATTTGGTTCAGAATAACATGATTCTGGCTTTTTTAAAAAGACGATCAAAAGAAAAGATAAATTTGCAACTGGAGCTTCACAGTACAAACTCATGAAAGGATACACAGAGCTTGTACGGCTTCCATCGGTGTATCAAACTGGATAGTAGCCATACCACGACTTTTTCCTTCTCTGTCTGTCTTGATGTCGGCCCTTACCACATTGCCAGCCATTCGAAATATATCTTTCAGCTTCTGCCACGTTACTTTGTAATCAAGCTAAAGAAATTCATGAATAAAGTTTGTTATTATGATAAAGTCTGGTAGGAAATTCTACCAATTTATTTGTCATCAACATTAAAAAGAACTATATTTAGTTTATTTAGTGGAATTGAAAGTGTAGCATGCTCACACTATCATTGCAAGGTATGTAATGTAACAATCACTTCTAATAGAGTACTCTATTTAACATCTTGAAGTCGAAATTTAACATTGTATTTGATTGGAATGTCATTTACCAATTCAAAAACGGGTGTCAAGGCAATATATTCAAAGAACAAAATTGGAGAAAAATTGGTGTATAATCAATTACTAAAACAATAATAGCCCTTGAATTAAAAAGTAAGACAAAGATACATGAATCAGTAACCTGCTTCAATTTATAATACCAAGGCATACTCAGAACAATTTAAATGTTTTCATGTTTGCCAGATAAAAGTACCTGTCTCACAAAAGATTGTAATAAAACTAAATATAGATCAAAGCTCCAAGATGCAACTGTTGTATTCAATAGCGACAACAAATTTTGAAAACTAATTAGAGTACTTACATTAGATACAAATATGGTATTGGAGACTTCATGCCTTTGTAAGCCAAGTTGTTGGAGGATCTGAGGATTCAGCATCATATCATTTCCCCCTCCTCCACCACCGCCGCCGCCCATACCCCCACCCATTCCTCCACCACCCATCATGCCACCCATACCCCCACCCATGCCCATACCACCACCGCCCATGCCTCCACCCATACCACCGCCGCCTCGCATGCCACCATAACCACCACCGCCCCCCATTCCTCCACCACCACCCATTCCACCACCTCTTCCATTGCCGTCTCTACGATCCTGCCTTGAATATTTGTTGCTAAATTTTCCATCAGTATCCTGCAAGATAAACATAATAAAATGCTTTGTTTAATTAATTAGCCCATACATCTTTACACAAATTTTACCGAAATTGACGACACATTTTAAAAAGGCATGATGTCAGCTGCCGAGTCACCATTGGGTCGCGTGTTATATTTTTTTTAAAATTTATATAGCAGTGAATTAAATAACAGCTATGGTTATGTGAACACCACTTAATATATTTGCATGATAATATAATAAATATAAAAACATGATTATTACTTATTTGAAACATATACTTTGGCATGGAATTAAATCGATAAGCAAATGTGAACAAAATGCAGAACATGGCTTCCAATAATAATTAATGAAAGTAAAGTCCTGTTCACAATGAAATATCACGAAGAGCAAAATATCATTAAAATGGTCATTCTTTCAGTTTAAAAAGCATTTTGCACACAGATATGCACCTACCTCCTTTACAACAATGCCTCGTCCACGCAATTCATGTTTATGCATTGTATCAACAGCTTTGTCCACAGTTTCTTTGTCTTTAAACTCAATAACACTGAAAAGAAAGACATTCCCTGGATCAATTCTATATTTCTCAGTGAAGTGCAACCCACTTAATAGCACTATTTTATTTCTCAAAGTCTGAGCTCGATTACACTTTTATTTGTGTTTGAAATGTCTTTCATATACAAATTAATCATTCTTCAATATACAGGAGGAGAGAACACAAATAGAATTCCATATCAACTTACCCACATCCCTGCAATACCAAAAATCAGAGCATGTAAAAAAAACAAAAAAACAAAACAAACTGTTTAACATTATGACAACTTAATATTATTTAAATACTTATAACAACTTAATGACTGCATTATTTGTACAACACGTTGTTCTAGTGCAAGTCTACAATACAAACAATACAATACTCTATATGACCTCACCTTAGATTTTCCTTCATCATCAAGAAAGAGTTCTACATATGTAACTTCACCAACTGAAAAAAAGAAAAAATCAATTGTATCAAAATGTCAATTCCAACACATCCAAATCCCTATTTTTTCAGTGTCACTCCTAAATAGTTATTATACATCATATGCTGGTAGATTCAGGGATTGCAATTAAGATCCGTTTACTTGTCCCATACAAGCTGATTTTGACACCTCTAAATTACCTGTCCCGATGCAGGATAAATAAATATCAACGTTTTTACTAAAAACTTAACTGACCAAATGGTGTAGTTGTAAGTCTCTAATGTCCAAAAAATTGTTTATGAAATAGTATATTATAATTTATTTTTCTAGGGATGAGTACACCAATAATTGGAACGAGACTTTTATTCTTTAACCAGTCTAACGGACAGAAAACTTTCTTAATTTTAATACTAAATGAACAAATAATGTGTTTCTGGGTGATCCGATCTTGTCCAGATTTTTTAGGCCGACCCTGTATTCCCATTATAGCCAAACTAGAAAATGGGCACTTGTAGGTACAAGGTACAAGATGTTGCGACTATTAAAAACAGTTACACATATAAACTCAATTGTCATATTTATAACTAGTCATTTTGGTGTGTTATTACCAACATGGCAATCAATGCAATGCAATCTGCACATTGCTTTATTGTTTTACCCAAACTAAGGGTAAACTCACTTTTTTAACTTTAACAATGCAAGTGTGAAACAGTATGCTTGATTCGAAAGTGTCATATTAAATGTGAAACAATAAGTAACCCACGAACAAAGGGTTCTATTTATAATTGTTCGTTCCTGACAATGACATACCTTTGTCTCTGAATAAATCCTTTATTTCTTGCCATTTCAACTCGTATGGTACATTGCTAATAAATACACGATTTGGTCCTCGTTGTCTGGTCTTATTTCTATCTCGGTTGTCTCTCCTCTGGCCACGATCTCTGTCTTCAAATCTACTACCGCCGCCACCTCGCCTTCTATCACGATCTCTCATACTATCCCGCCTCTCACGCTTCTTGTCGCCGCTACCGTCTTTGGACCGATTAAGAGGTGACCGGGATCTTGACCTGGTTTTCCCATTCACCCTGAAATAAAGACAATTTTAACTCAGTCCCCGATTTTTATGAAATGTTATGACGCTGCATGCGCTCAGATGATCGTTGGGCATGCTAGACCTGCGGGTGTCAAACTAACCGTAGAACGCAGCTCACATGTCGATGAAATCACGTGAAAGGAGAACAATGCAGTTTAGAGCAAAATTAAAGACAGACTGTGCGACTGGGCGTCATAGTGCTAAAACATCACAGAAAAGGGCCACAAACAATATATCTGCAAGAACCAACATTTTCCTCACACTATATATTTAATTTACTTACTGTTCACTGTCATCAGGGTTGAACTGTTCTGCAAAAGAGAGGTCTTCTTGGCAAAGATCTGTCTTGCTTATTTCATCCTCCATTTTGTTCCGCGTGTGTGTTGCGTTTGTTCCCAGCGTCCTTTGCAAAATGCGTGTACCCTCGTACAACGCTGATATCAACCTAATTTACTATTTGTACCAGAGGCTAGTTATCGTGCTATCATATCACTACCCATATTAAAATTTTATTTCAAAATCATCAATGTCTGTAATTGTAATGTGAAATATGAGCTTAACAAAATTTCTCACATTTGTAATAGCAGTGTGAACGAGGGTAATATCCGGTAGCATGTTGCAAACAGAAGAAATCCAGTCCCTGTATGCAGGGATGACTGAAAATGTATAAACTGTATGTTTTGTTTCACTGAGCTGCGGTCGCCAATAACGTCTTTACAATGGTGAAGGAACAGTTTCGAGAGACGGACGTTGCAAAACGAATGTGAGCTTTCGACAAGTGTTAAGTGTCAGATGGTCCCGGGAGTGGGGCCATGCAGTGGGGGTTGTTTTTTCAGGGGGGGGGGGGGAAGATCGAGTGTCCAGGCAACGTTTGTCACTTTACAAATCAAACCAACATTTGAAAGAAAAAATTACAACTATTTTGGTCAAACCAATTTTGGTTTTTGAGTACAATTTTTTCACGTTTTTGGCATTTTTTTTATTTATGATTGTGGAAGCTGCACTACGATTTGATCAACTCCCAAAAAAATTTCGTTCTAATGTAACCTTAAGTTTGTACACAGCTTTATTCCCAGTAAATAGCATAGCATCACAATTGATATACAAAAAAAAAACAATAATGTTTTGTCTTTAATAATTATTAATTAATAGTGTGCATAAGAAATACATTTTGTTATGAAATATTCCTCATATATTTCTATTTCACTTGTCAAAATCAATTTTAAGGTTTAAAAAAAATAATTTCACAATTTATTAGTTATTAACAATTTGAATTGTATTAATTATTAATGATTTACATTGTTTTTATTTATGCATTGTAGTTTTATCACATTTCTTCTTGAAATGAATTGTTATGATTTTCAACAGTGTAATAGAATGATTATATTTCTATTTGGTCAAAAATTAACTAATAAAATATAGAAAAATACACAAAAATGTAATACATTAAATATTATCTAAATGAATGGTATGAACAGAAAATGTCATGATAAATTTAAGTGTTTTGGTTTATGTATAATGTTTCCCATTTATTTACAGTGGCCATGTTTGTTTTGGTGTGTTGTCACCAGAGGAGATGAGACAAGTTGCACACATCCAATGTGTGAGTAAGAATCTGTATACACAAGAGACCCGTAAACCAGTTCAATATGGAGTGCTGGACCATAGAATGGTAAGACTCATTTCTGATTAGATGTGGGGTGGTCATGTGGTTGACTGGGAATACATTACGTTGGATCATATGTTGCAAATTTCATTGATACAACATCAGCCTATGTACCAACCACATCAACAAGGCAATCTAAACAAAGTTCTCAAATGAAAAAGGTATCATTTTCAAAACAAATTTGTTTTAAATTATCGGATGGAAAAAGGTTATTGAAAGTATTAAAGCAACAATAGCTGTCATTTTAACCATTTTTTTGGTTTAAATATAATCACGTAAAGATGACCACATTTTACCGAATTGAAATTGGTCAATGTTGAAACTTCAAAAATGAGTTCAAAAAATGTAATGTCTGTGTGCAGTTTGTTATTGATACATTTGTAATCTCATTTTGTTTAGGTAAAAATCACTGCCAACTCATCTTGAGATTATCTCTATAAAGATCTGGCCAATACATTCAATTGATCTTTGGCTTTGGATTCTTGCAATAATCAAATATCAATTGTATATAAACTATACAATTGTTATATTTTTGTGGTTAAAAAAAATAAAATATCTTGAAATCAAAGTTTGCACAACCTTAATTATAAAATAACAACTTGTGGTATTCTCACCATTAATAGTATAGTATAAATCGCATAATTTTCACTGCTAGAAATTTTTGCAATTTGATGATTTTCAGGCATTCATGAAGAAAAATATGTTGCAAAAGTCACTGACACTTGACATCGTAGGATCCCAGAATGCTTTTCACTGCTATAAATGTTCATAAAATTCACAAAAAATTGTCTTAAAAAATTAAATCAGTTTAAATAATTACAATGCAAGTCTGTTCACAAAACAAAAAATATGTCTGGAGAATAATTTGCAACCACACTAACTCAGTACATTTGTATTTTCATTTTTCAGGGAACCAGTGAAAAAGACAACCCATGCGAGACATGTGGCAAACATCTTTCTGATTGTATTGGTCATTTTGGATACATTGATTTAGAATTACCTGTATTTCATATTGGTTTTTTTAGAGCCTGTATATCAATTCTACAAGTAATCTGTAAGGTAAGATTCATAAAAATTAACAAATGATAGGACTGCCAATATCCTATAGGACAGCACAGCACCGCACACACAGGTACAACTTCTTTTAATCTCAAAGTTAGGGTGTTTGCAAGGTATCGTGATCAAAACTTTGCACTTTATAGACCAAATTATTATTGCCTTCACTATAATATCTAAATCCTGACTTGCAATTCTGTTTTGAATTCTTAAGTAAATAGTTAGGCTAAAAAAAATAAAAAAACCTTGACTAGATTTTGCCTGTCAAGCCTGTAACTTTTTATGGTCAAACCGGAAAGTGGCCACTTGGGGGTGCATGTTGGACAAATTTGGAATACAAAATTTTGGCTTGCATATGTTAATCGTTATGTATTGTATCCCGACTTACAAGTATATCTTAGGACATGACTGGACGAATTACATTCAGACTTCACACATACATCATACATATTATTATAAATATGCACATCAATTTATTTCACGATCTGATTGAAGATGGCCGAATGGCGGCCATTTTTGTCAAAAATCAAGCATTTTTGGCATTCCAGAATGAGATCTCGGTTGTTTATGGATGGATTTGTTCAACCTTGGTACATACATTAGACATTATGGCGGCCATTTTGTTTTAAAGAATGCTCTGACATGCATCGACTGATTATGTTCAAATTTTATATATTCATTATACATCATGTCATAGATATACAGATGTATTGGTTTGACGATCTGATTCAAAATGGCCAACCAGTGGCCATTTTGTTTTAATTAATGCTGTTCCAGAGCAATATCTCTGGACTAGTACTCATTAGATGATCAATTTAACAAATCATCATAATTAAGCATCAGTTTCTGGATCCATTCCTCTGACATGTTTATGTTCAAACTATATTTTCTTCTATTCTACACATTCTAAAAGGTTCTGCAGAAACAACGGAGATGGATACGTAAATAAATTCAATTGTAACAAAATGATAATTCAAATTATACAAAACAATAATGCAAATGAGCTACCATAAATACTTCTTCATGTTTTGTCCAAAAGGAATGCATTATTTAGTCGTATTTAGGAGAAATTGAGTTTGTGTTGTGGACTCAAAAGTCCCTGTGAGTTACTGTCTGAAAAACAAAATTTTTATGTTTAAAATATTGATATTTGGTGGTCCTAAAACCCCTATGTCAATTTGAAAATTCTTTTGTATACACCCTTTGAATTTGTTTGAATTCATTCTGATTTGTTTCTATCTCTATGAAGACTTGCAGTAGAGTTCTAATTGCAAATGAAGACAAGCAAATGTTTTTAGATGTGTTGAAGAAGCCAGGAC